AACTCTTTCTTTCAAGAAATTGGAATCTCTCATCATGTACCTTGTCCTCACGCCCATCAACAAAATGGGTCGGCCGAACGTAAACATAGGCATATCGTAGAGGTTGGCTTAGCTCTCCTTGCGGGTGCCTCCATGCCTCTAAAATTTTGGGATGAGGCGTTCCTCACTGCCGTTCACATCATAAACATGCTTCCTAGTCGTGTCATCAACAATGACACCCCTATGGAACGGCTTCTCAACATCGAACCAGACTACACTACTCTTCGTGTGTTTGGATGCGCTTGCTGGCCGAATCTTCGACCTTATAATAATCGCAAGCTTATGTTTCGTTCAAAACAATGTGTGTTCATAGGATATAGTGCACAACACAAAGGAGTTAAATGCCTTGATGTGTCCACTGACCGTGTCTATATCTCTCGTGATGTGGTTTTTGATGAGACCAAATTCCCATTTGCTGATCTCCACCCAACTGCTGGTGCTCTTCTTCGCCAAGAAATCCTACTTCTTCCACCTCAACTCACCGGATTAGCTCAAGGGGGAAATAATTGTGATGACCATGCATTGACTAATCCTCAAAACCAACTGCATGAGCTTTGTTGTGATACAGATGCAGATGCGTTCAGCAGAGAAAATGGCGAAGGAAACGACCAAAACAATCAAGAAATCAGTACAGAAGGGCGGCATTTCATGTGTCCACCGATGGGGGACAAATCCTCCTCGGGATTGCTGCCGCAGGATCTGCCCAGGCGATCTGATTCGGGATCCGCGCCACACAGAGACGGCAGCGCGCAGGAAACCACGTCGCCTGCCAGACGTGACGGCAGCGAATCAGCGGCTGCCGTGCGGCGCACTCCAACTCGCCCCCGTGCGGGCGCTGAGCCGCACCAATCCACGGGAGCCACGCGGTTGCCTGAGTATCGCTGGGCGCCAGGTGGGCCCCGCTACTACAAGCGACGACAAACGGCACGCGACTCCGCGAGCGCTGATTTGTCCGGGCCCACGGGCTCGCGATCCAGCGCTGATCCTCCCGGCCCCGTGCAATCATCGGACAATGATGAGGGTGTGGCAGGTGCTGGGTCTGGCTTGGGATCTTCTGCGCCATCTCCACTACACCAGCCACGTCCTGACGCCACAGAAGATCCGGGCGCACCTGATGGGGCTGCACCAGCGCCAGGGGGGTCTGCTTTGGGATTGAGGACAGGATCCTCTGCGCCGCGGACTGCCGCGACATCTCCTGCACAGCCGCATACACGGCTCCAAAAAGGGGCAATTCAACATGTAAACTATAAAACCAAATTTGGTCTTGTTGCTTGTTCTTCATGTGAACCCAACACGGTTGAGGAAGCCCTTCGTGATCCTCGGTGGAAGGAAGCAATGGAAGAAGAATACATGGCATTACAGAAAAACAAAACATGGCACCTGGTTCCTTCAAGGCAAGGTAAAAACTTAATTGACTGCAAGTGGGTCTTCAAAATTAAGAGGAAATCTGATGGAACCATAGACCTCTACAAGGCCAGACTTGTTGCAAAAGGATTCAAAAAACGATATGGTATAGATTATCAGGACACCTTTAGTCCTGTTGTTAAGGCTGCTACTATTCATCTTGTGTTGTCTATTGCTGTTTTTAGGGGATGGTGCCTTAGACAACTAGATGTACAGAACGCGTTCCTTCATGGTGTTCTGGAAGAGGAAGTGTACATGAGACAACCTCCTGGGTTTGAAAGCAAAAACTCACCATTTCATGTGTGTAAACTTGACAAGGCTTTATATGGACTCAAGCAGGCCCCAGAGCTTGGTACTCACGCTTAAGTCAGAAGCCGCAGGCACTTGGTTTTGTCCCCTCCAAGTCTGACATGTCACTGTTTATTTACAATAAGTCTAATACATCCATATTTGTTCTCATATATGTTGTTGATATTATTGTCACAAGCTCATCTGAAAAAGCAGTGACAGGATTACTGAAAGACTTGAGTGCTGAGTTTGCTCTCAAGGATTTGGTAGACTTGCATTTCTTCTTAGGGATTGAAGTCAAGAGACATGGTGATGGTCTTCATCTCTCTCAAGAAAAATATGCTACTGATCTGGTAAGAAGAGCTGGTCTTCAAGGATGTAAGCCCTCACCAACTCCTTTATCTAGTTCGGAAAAGTTGTCTCTTACAGAAGGAGATCCTTTGAATCAAGCTGATAGTACAAATTACAGAAGTTTAGTAGGAGCACTACAGTACTTGACATTGACAAGGCCTGATATTTCTTTTGCTGTTAATAAAGTGTGTCAGTTCCTTTATGCACCCACTACAGTTCACTGGACAGCTGCAAAACGCATAATGAGATATGTGAAAGGTACCATGAAACTTGGGTTAACCATCAACAGATCACCATATGCTCTTGTTAGTGCCTTTTCTGATTTAGACTGGGCAGGATGTCTGGATGATAGACGTTCTACTGGTGGGTTTGCAATATTTTTTGGACCTAACCTTATGTCATATGGTGTGCAAAGAAATAGGCTACTATGTCCAGGTCAAGTACAGAAGCTGAATACAAAGCACTTGCCAATGCCACAGCAGAAATCATTTGGGTTCGGTCCATGTTGAAGGAACTTGGACTAAAATCCACACAGGCTCCCTGCTTATGGTGTGATAATCTTGGTGCTACCTATTTGTCTGCTAACCCTGTGTTCCATGCAAGAACAGAACACATTGAGATCGATTTTCATTTTGTCAGAGAACGAGTTGCTAATCGACAGTTGGAGATTCGTTTTGTTCATTCTAGAGACCAGGTTGCAGATGGCTTCACAAAGGCATTACCTACAAGAAACTTTGATGAATTCAAACGTAATCTCAATCTCATGGAGTTGTGATTAAGGGAGGGTGTTAAACATACCGCACCTAATGCTGTCACGTTTACAGAAGCCCTCAGGCGCGACAGGAAGAGATAGACTAGGTTGTTAGCATTCATCTTTATCTCGTTGTAACAACTCTCTCTATCTCTACTTCTATCTCTTGTAGCACAAGTTGTATCTAAACTACCGAAGCTTGTACGCTATCAGGGAGGTCGCGACCCTGTTATATAAACACGGAACCATCACCAGAGATGGTACGACGTTAAGCCTTTCTACAGATTTGTGTGTGTTTGATGAACCATATATTTCTCCTGGGGCTTCCTCTTTTAGTCTGGATTTTCTGTAAAAAAAAAAGAAAGAAAGAATCATTCAGTGGAAGATTGTTCAGATTTGCTTCAGCACCTTTGTTTTGGCAGGCTGTATGTCTGTCAGTTTTTAGAAAGATGTTTCGTATTTGGCTCGTGCATATACACCATTGCTCAAAAGATTGTATCTTGAGTAACATCTCCCCGGTCCCTGAAGTTGCCGTGTTGACTGTTCACGTTGCTTTTTAATTAATTACCTCCACCAACGAGCATCGCAAACATGTTAAGTAATTGGATAGCTGGGTCGTTGGCCCCAAAGCTCAAGGCACAAATCTTTTTTGTGCAATTTGGAATTGCCACCATGATTTTGTTTTTAGAAACTTTTACATTTATGCCCTTAGTTCAGTGGCACTAATATGCTTTACCCCTAATTTTTGGCGTTTCTGAGTTTTGACCCTTTTTCCGTTAAATCGGCTCCGTAATGCTAAGCGCTTGGCAGCAGCCTGTGTAGCTGTACGTGTGTTGTGTACACATGCAGCAAACTAATCTACAATAGCTTGTTGTTTCTGTCAGGTACTCCCTCCGTCCGGCACTAACTTGGTGCTACATACATCCATTTAAGGGACAAGTTTTTTCGGACGGAGGGAGTAGTATTTTGGTTACCCAGCAAATCAAAGTGTTGGAATAATCTACTCCATACGTACATCATATATTGCCGTGTGAGAGATGCAACACATATCGGCCGTATGCACATTGCATTGCTCCAACACGAATGACTTCGACCGCTAGCATTGCCGTGTGAGACATGCAACACACACCATCCTCGAATCGGTATGCACATGGACACGAGTGACTTGACCGCTTGCCATAATAACTCTCATGCATGCATACTCTCCCTCAGGCACGCATGGAAGGTAGTACTTCCTCCGTTCCTAAATATTTGTCTTTCTGGAGAATTTAACAAGTGACTACATACAAAGCAAAATGAGTGAATCTACACTTTAAAATGTGTCTATATACATCCGTATGTGGTAGTCCATTTAAAATTCTAAAAAGACAAATATTTAGGAACGGAGGGAGTACAACATTGTTGTGCCGTGTGAGACATGCAACTCAGCCATCCGCAAATCAGTATGCATGGAGCTGTGCCGTGTGAGACAAGAATGATGAGTTGACCTCTTAGCTGGAGCTGGCCGTAACTCTCCAACAAGCATGGCAGACTTCCATGGCCACGCTTGTTCTCTGCTTTGACATGTATTCTCCAACTCAGCCATCTACAGATGTGCGCTCGGCTATTTAATGTGATGCCATCAGCACTGGGAACCAGAACCAGAGCCAATTCCATCCAGCCTAGCTAACTAGTCATGGATATGCATCCACCACCCAAAATGCTTGCCTCTCTCACCATCACCATACTGATTATGGTCATGGCCACCTCCGTCACACTTGCGTCGTCGGATGCAGTGGTGCTCGAAGGACAAGCAAGAGCACTCCTCGTCTGGAAAGATAGCCTCGACAACCAAAGCCAGCAGGCCCTGCGCTCCTGGGGAAACACGTCGACGCCATGCAACTGGCGCGGCATCAGTTGCGATATTAGTGTGCAGCGACACCAGCATTGGCCGGTGATCAACGGCATCTCTTTGCGGGGTATGCGGCTGAGAGGAGCTCTGATGTCCCTCAACTTCTCGGCCTTGAGGACCTTGACACACCTCGACCTCCCAAACAACCTCCTCGCTGGGAGCATTCCTCATAGTATCGAGGTCCTTGGCGAGCTCCATGCTCTCCTTCTGCAAGGCAACCAGATAAGAGGCTCAATCCCACTAGGTCTAGGAAATCTCACAAAATTGCATTCCTTAATGCTTCACGAAAATGAACTCTCCGGTGAAATACCAAGCCAGATAGGCAACATGAGTAGTCTTGTCACCCTCAACTTGTCAACCAATCACTTGGTTGGTTATATCCCTTGTCAAATAGGACACATCAAGCACTTAGTTGCATTAGATTTATCCAGTAATAATCTTTTTGGCAAAATACCAAGCAGCATAGGTGGTTTGACCGAACTCACTAGCTTGTACCTTTACTGTAACAAACTTTCTGGACAAATTCCACGAGAACTAGGATATCTTCTAAACTTAAAGGACCTGCAACTTGGCATCAACACATTCTCAGGTTCCATTCCAGGAAATTTACATAATTTGACCAAGCTCACCGTGTTAATTCTACGGCAAAACAAACTTTCTGGGTTAATTCCACAAAAAATAGATTACCTTTCAAATTTACTGTACCTGAGTCTTAGTGAAAACATACTCTCGGGTTCCATCCCAAATAGCATAGGAAATTTGACCAAGCTCACAACCTTGTCCCTTAGCAACAACCAACTTTCTGGGTTAATTCCACAAGAATTAGATTTCCTTACGAACTTAGAGTACCTGGATCTTAGTGAAAACATATTCTCGGGTTCCATCCCAAATTGCATAGAAAATTTGACCAAACTCACAATCTTGTACCTTTACAGCAACCAACTTTCTGGGCACATCCCTCGAGAACTAGGTCTCCTTGTGAACTTAGAGGATTTGGAGCTTAGCGACAACACACTAACTGGTTCCATCCCAAATAGCATAGGAAATTTGATAAAACTCACAGCATTGTATCTTGACAGCAACCAACATTCTGGACACATCCCTCGAGAACTAGGTTACCTTGGGAACTTAGAGGAGTTGAATCTTAGAAACAACACATTAATAGGTTCCATCCCAAATAGCATAGGAAATTTGACCAAAGTCACTATCTTAAATCTTTTCATGAACGAAATTTCTGGACACATCCCTCGAGAACTAGGTTACCTTGAGAAGTTAGAGCAGTTGTATCTTGGCACTAACACCCTAATTGGTTCCATCCCAAATAGCATAGGAAATTTGACAAAACTCACTATCATGTACCTTGAGAGCAACCAACTTTCTAGACACATCCCTCGAGAACTAGGTCGCCTTGAGAACTTAGGAGTTGGCTCTTAGCAACAACACACTAACAGGCTTGATCCCAAATAGCATAGGAAATTTGACGAAACTCCACATTTTGTGCCTTGACAATAACCAACTTTCTAGGCAAATTCCACGAGAACTAGGTTATCTAATGAACTTAGACATCTTGGAGCTTAGCTTCAACACACTGACAGCTCCCATCCCAAAAAACCTAGGCAATCTCATAGAACTTGCTGTCTTGTACCTTCACAATAACAAACTTCCTGGCCACATTCCATCAGAATTAGGTTATTTGATCAACTTGAAGTACTTGTCTCTTGGAAATAATGCACTAACTGGTCCCATCCCAAATAGCCTTGGCAATCTGACAAAACTCAAAAATTTGTACTTTGGCCAGAACCAACTTTCCCGGCCAATTACGTGAGAAATAGCGTGGTTGTTGAATTTAGAGTACTTTTAGAGCATAGTAACAACAGACTAAGAGATTTAATCACAAACAGCCTAGACTATCCTGTAGAATTATCTTTCTTGAGAAATTTCACAAGATGGCCCTGTCCTCATCCACTCCTCTCCTCTCCCTCACGGGCACGGGACCAAACCTCCTGCCGGACCCATCTCCTCCCCCTCCATGGTGCTGCTGCCAAAGCTCCTCCTCCTCACGGCGGCCGACTCCTCCTCCGCGCTCGTCCTCACTGCCGCCACGGCCCACGCCTTCGCCGCAGGGTAACTCGACGCCAGCGTGCTCACCACCGATTAGGCCGCCGGCGGCCCTCGCCCTTGCCGTCTTCGACTGCGGCGCGACCCCTCTCGCCTGCGCCACCGACGTCGTCGGCGCGCTCTCCGGCGCACTGCTTCTGTCCTAAACTGGACTGGAGTCCCTACACACAGTACACGGTAAAGTGAAGAAAGCTGCAGAGAGTTTAGTAAATAGATTCCAGAAGCATCTTGAATAAATAGCCACTCAATTTTGTAGTGCCTTTTTCTGTCTGAATGTTTATCATTAATTACTGCTACTAGGGAACACGTGTTGACTTCGACATTGCTGGAGTCTACGAGCCACTGGAACCAGATTTCGAGGTTATCAAAATTCTGACAAAGTTGCTAGATATAGGCTAGATATTGGCATGTATGAGATAGAACTAAATCACAGAAGGTTGCTCCAAGAATGCTGCAGATCTGTGGCATGCCTTCCGAGAAGTTCAGAACGGTTTGCTCGAGTATCAGCAAGCTCGACAAACTGACAATCGAAGACGTGAAAAAAAAAAAGAACTGGTACGTACGCATCCAAACTCCATTTCTCTGTTTTGTTCACTGCTTGTATATGTTCTTTGTGATCTTGGTGTGGATTTATGTGCCATAATCCTCATTATTAATTCATTATGCTGCCTGTGACTTAGGTGGAAGAGAAGGGTGTACCACATGAAACACTGAAAAGATTGGAAGTTCAATGAAGAATGCTGCGCTAGAAATTCATTATTAATTCATTGTGTTGCCTGGATTGGAAGACTCTGCTCAGCTTATCCCCGGATCCTGCTGCTGTTTCTCCCACCAGGTGACAACAACACACTCAATTTTGCTTTGGTTATTCTTGCCCAACTAAATTAAATTGATACTACTAGTACTAACCATGCTTCACTGCTTGTTTGATGATGAAAACAAGGCTTGCGCTTGCAACTCATTTCTAGCGCGCCTTCATAAGCCTCCTGCGCAACGGTCAGTTCGAAGAGCTCTCCGTGCAGGATCTCTTCCTGATCTACTCCCTGAACAGTGATTACCCCTGATGCTGCCGGTTTACGTCGACCGGAAAAAGGCAGCCGAGTCCAACGCGATCATATTCCGGTGAGTTTTAATTTGGTCCTGTGACTTTGCAGTCTGTTGGGTGCACGCAGAAGGGAAATGGAGCTCCCGTGGTAGTACTAACTAGACCGGGATCGTGCCTTGGCGCAAGGGTGCCGGTCCCAATGTTTTGGCCAAGCAGATAATGTGAAGTCAGTTGTAATCCAAGTTTAGCATATGTATTCATACATGTTAACAATATAGTGGAGAAGAAACATTCAATTGTTCATGACCATGAGCCCAGCTGTAGGATAATAGACAATAGGTAAATATGATTAATTACAGTTTACAACACAAGAAATCAGAAGCAAAGACCTGGCGAATGATAAAACATTTAAATCCACATTGAATAAACATCTAAATTTAGTTAAAGATGACATACACATCCTAGTCATTTAGCCATTAACTTAATAACGTATACTGACATACATATTCAGATCATGGTAAGTCAAAACTACATGGATCATCAGCCAACTCATCAAGGTCCTTAAACCTGGTACAAGTAACAAAAACAACATGCCATGTTTCAGTGAAAATACAGCTGAGCAGAGTATCGATTCTCAGTCTAACCCACTGAATTTAGTCTGTCAATTAGGATAGCGTCAATTAGTTCAAAGAAGATCCCAGGGCCCAAGCTACAAAATTGAAAACAAAGAACCTGTCATACACCCATTTCAGTATATACACAAAGAATTGTAGTCTTATACATGCATTAAGTAGGCGAAAGTATGAGTAGTGGAGGTCACTTGTGAGAGATTAATCAGTAAAGGCGAAGCATATGAGGCATACAAGGAGTTTGTGTATAGCATTTGTTCAAGAATATTATCTTGTTTATTCCATTAGACAGGACTGTCATGATGTTTTAACAGACCATGGGGGTGCAACACATGAACGCTCCCTAGAAGTCAAAGCGCCTGATAGATTTCAATCTGCATGGGGAGGAAGAAGAGCGTATTGACGGCTCGCCGTTAGAATTATGGCTGAGTTCAGATAAAAAAGAAAGAATCACTGATTGTTTCCATACATCAGAATTATGGCTAAAAAATGTAATTAGAAGTATGTCTCTTGAACAAAGCTAAGGCCCATGAAACACACACTTTGAAACCAAGAGTGCTACTAATTTATCTATGCAAACCTACAACAAAATTATGGCTGAAACGACATGCCATGAAACTGGAGGTGTAGTGCCTGTTTCAGAAAAATGATCAAGGTTCCCTAGTCCTAGTAATGTGAGCATGAACCCCTGTGTGACAACCTACCTTCAGTGGCAAAGCTATGAACTACCATATGGACCAAAATGAAGTTATCGATAAAATCAGTCATTTACCTAGGTAGAGAAACTAAACATGAAGTAAATTCACAGGACGAGACTTTCATATCCACGGATGATCAATATCTATCAACATAGCCAACAGAGCATAGGTAGAGAGAAAACTCACCTGCTGACATCACCAAGAGTAGCTCAAGTGGGCCTTGGAACTACACACACCACCATGGAAGTTCTGTGCACTGGGGATCAGTCCCAGCGGTGTTGTCACTTCATCCTTTTACCTCGCAAACACACTCGTACCCCTCATTCAGGAGCTGCTGGAGGAAGAAGGCAAACGTCAATGAACACACATTGTTTTCTATAAAATGTAGAAATTTCCAATGAACACTATATAACAAATTTTATTATAAATGTGAAACAGAGCAGAAACACCTTAAAACTATTTGATCCCGGTCATCACATTCTTCTAAACAAATGCTTAGAATAGAATGTCAAAATATAACAGGCGAAGTATAATACTTAGGTGTGCAACATAAACTGATTCACACTAACTGTTACAAGTGAGCATTTGATCCAATTTTTGCTATTTCATATCTCAAACTGTATATAGCTTCAGCCCACATGATAACACAAAACGTGCAAATGGAATTTTCTTTAGGCAGAACTAAGGAAGCAACAATGACAACTCAGTGAACAATAATTATAGCAAAATGGGAACAAAGCAATACAAGAAAAAGAGGCATGCAAGAGCAGCACCTAGCATTCGGGGCGACACTCAGTTCCTTTATCTGAACTATAACCCAAAATGCAAAAATAAGGATCTCCCATGTTCACTTGCAGCTTACCTATAAACTACACGATAAGCCCTAGAGCTTCTTAGAGCAATCCCATATATCTTGAAAGATAACCAGTCACCTGCATGGGCAAGTGAAAAGGCTTCATTAAGAAAATGTAACATCCATAGTAGGCCCTAGACAGAACGAACATATATGTACTACTACTTAACAATATTGTAAAATAGCATAAATGATAGCTAAGCAACATCCAATCGCCTAAAAGAAAGCCTTCCAAATGTTTTTGGGAACATCCAAGAAAATAGAACAATTGAAACTAGCAGTAATCTAAAAAACGGACCAACATCCATACTGGATTGTAGATAAATACTATAGCAGCACATAATTTTTACAGTATAGTAAATTTAACAACTTGGTTATCTTACCTCTCTCGAATTACGGTTTCTTATTGTATCATACCAAGGCTTCTTCACATGGCATCCCATAGGAAGTGCTCATTGCTAACTTGTAAACTTCGTCTTGTTCTATACATCTCCAGCACCTAAAAATTGAGGAAGCTACATATTACAATCTTTTATTGTACCAGGCCTTCCTCACACAGTATCAAGAATATCAAACCCCAAAAAGGCAAGACAAACATGCACATACTCAGGTTTTCGCTAATCATATTTAAGATCATGTGACACGTCTCATCATTAAGCACATAAAGCTTGAGACATGATGAAGTACATTAAAAAATAAGACATGATCCATCTAAGCAATGTGATCAGCATAACTACTTCAAAATATAGGAATCTCCTTAAAAATTTCTAATCTGATTTGGTGGCAACTCATGCTGCACCGATAAGTTCCCATGCATCTGATAAAATATAAAGCTTCTAGTTAATTTACAGGAAAATATGAAGGAAGCAAAGGGAAAAAAATGAAGTATACTAAGGGCTGCAACTTAACATCACACATCGCGCAATCAGATATGAACATAGTGCCAAGTCAGCTAATTATTCAGTCCAGGGAGGTAAAATTCTTGCTAATTATAAAATTCTATGATGCACAAGCTGCAAGGAAGTTGCTAAACACAATTAAGCATAGCTAATAGTTGTGTATAAAAGGCATTCTAGCACAAAATCTACATA